TTACTATGAGTATCAAGAGATACATTCACATTTATGTCTTTGGTACTTAGATTGGATGCCTTGACGATTTCCAGAGGCATCTAAAATTATGTTTTTTTATTTGATAATGTATAGAATCAGGATCAGACATGTATATGCGGAGTTTGATAGTTTTTTTTCTTTTCTGGGATATGTCGCCGACCCAACAACACTGACTTTTTTTTCTATTTTTAGCTTGTTTTACATTTATATTGTATTTTTGAATGCTTGAAATAGATTTCATTGTTTTTTTTTTGTGGTTTGTATGAGAATCACAAATGTAATATAGGTTTTAAGGATTTAAAATTCTAAACTTGCTACAAAATCCTAATAAAATATTCAAGATAATGAAAAGTTTATGATTAAAATATTTATGAGTTTAAAATTTACTCTTTTACTTTCTTGTATGGAATTCATGTCGGATTTTAAATGAGTTGTACGCATGCTATCACTCTTGTCATATTTAATAGGGCCTCCATATTAGGATTGATTCCATATTAGGATTGATTAGTCACTACATCATATTGCATGTCATGAAGAGAAGCCCCTGTGCTTTCCCAACCCGACCGACCTAACATAAATTTCTACTTATGTGGTTCTCTTAGGACGCTAGAAGGCTTCTGGCCTAGACATGTGTAAGTTCTTTTGTTGGGAGTGTATTTCAATTTTGTAACCGAACCTCCTTTTCTTCTCTTCTTCCAACGACAGTTGCGCCACTTCAGTGGGTATAAGTCTCAACTATTGGAGCTCCACCTATAGTCATATGATAAAGTTTTGTTCCTTTGATCTTAGGGCTACCAAAGTCCTCGTGGAAGACGCAATTCACAGATTGCTGACCAATGATTTTAGGATACGTTGAGTCGACTACTTTCATGACTAGGTAGATTTAGAGTCTTAGTAACTTGGGATGTCAGATATGTGGTATTTCGACTTGACTACCTCTACCTTTTATGACTACTCCACCCTTCGTCTTGATGAGCCCCTTCGAGCCATATAATTCCTTTAACTTCGTTGATATCATTTCGACCACCCGATTATTGGTGAGCTGTCGCTCATTTTGAATATAGTGATTCACCATTTGCCCTTATGGCCCAATGAGCTTTGACATATAGGGATATCCTCGTTCAGATGATTTTGATGATTTCATAGGCTCTGTATGTCAATGAGCCAATACTTATTTGAGATGTGAGAGAGTCACTCTTTGCCCAATGACTTAGCGAAAGCTTCGAAGCATCAAGACATTCCCATACAAATAATCATTTGATGTCCTGTTCCCAAGGTTTATGATAATATAAGTGAAACTATTTTTTTCGAGAGTATTCTTGGGTATCCCCTAAGAAGTAATTAATCGAAGGGAGATGTTCCTCTGGGAGATTCCTGACCATAAAACAAAAATATTGTTTTTGGTTCTCTGGTTACGAGTAGCTTATGTGAGAATTCTCTTTGTGTATATTGTGTTTTGAGGTACTTCGATTCATTTCTCTTCGGGCATATATTCTCAACTTATCACACGAGGATTACCCATATATATGTCTTTCGCTTGTTTTTTTTATTTGTTTACCTATTTGTTGTCGTATATCCTTCTTCTCTTTAAATCATTGATATGATTCGGGAGAAAAATTTATTCGAATAAGAGAATTATACGAATACATAGAAATATGCAAGCTGGCAGGTCCGAGTGCTCTAAAAAGATATGATAAAATAAGGGTTAGATAGAACCTCACTTTTTATACATTGGGTTGATTGTGCAAAGCAAAACTTTGTGCACAGCTCACTTTATTTTTGTTAGGTGCATGATTCTCATTGTATGCTTATAATATATTTTTGATGTGATGTTTGATAGATGAAATTGATGCAAAGCAAGACTTCACTTTGAGAAAACTTTTTGATGATTATGTGTCAAAGAATTCTTGCACTTGAATGACTTGTATAATGCTTAAACTTATGTTTGAACCTTAGCGTTGTCGAAATAAAATTCATGCTCTAGACTTATGTATTTGAAATTTTACTTATATTTTATGCGATTGATTTGAAAATCGATAATAATATCTTTTAAGGTAGGGACAACATAATAGCCCATAAAACCCCTATTCTTGAAGTTCTAATCGTCTTAGGTATATCTTTAACTTTTGATCATGATTGAGAGTCTTATGCTTCTCATAAGAGAGTTGGTTTGTAGGCTCGCCAACAACAAAAACAAGAGTGTCAAGATGTGAGGGAAACTAAAGAGACCAACTCTAGCTGATTTCATATGCAGTGATCGTGCCAAAACAAGGGCTTGTTTTCATCATCATATTATAAGAAATGTTATATCAAAATAAAAATAGGGGAAATATTCTAGTCTTTTAAGTATCAATTTTAGTGGCTTTCGCAAGGTCATTTGAAGGATGCCAAGTGAGAAGAAGAGAGAACTTTCTTTTCTTTATTCTCATCTTCTTATCATTCTTCTTAATTTTTTGTCCTTCTTCCTTTCATAATATAATAGTCTCAATCTTATCATGCTTAAATTAAGTTAATTTTATAAGTAGTAATCCTATGTTTATTTTAATGGTTAATAAAATGTGATTAAATGACTAGTCATAGTTTGCTAATCTTATCTTCTTCATGCTAATATTTTGTTGTAACAATTATTATTAGTCAAGTAAATGCCTGCTAATCATAATTAGTTGAACAAATCTCTGCTAATTGGAGAATAATCATTAAAGATTCTAATGAATTAACTCATTATTTTAAAAATTTATATTATAAGAGTAGGTTATAAATCAATAAATAAATCATAATATCCTCACATTATTACTCAAAAGCCAATTATACAAATAAGTGTAAATTAATTATTTTAATTATTAATCCTTTAGAATCCTTAATGATTATCTAATATGAATTTTTCTTATTTAAAATATAAGGAGCAATATTCTTGGGATACAATTGGAATCATAGCTAATGCTTTGAAATATTTGTGATTCATTATTACTACAAAGATAAGCACATATTTCATAAGATAATATTTATTAAAAAAATATAATATAATATAAAATCTATATAATATATGCTTATATGAATGATACATATCTAGTGAAATATTTGTGATTCATTATTACTACAAAGATAAACACATATTTCATAAGATAATATTTATTAAAAAAAATAATATAATATAAAATCTATATAATGTATGCTTATATGAATGATACATCTCTACTTAGCTAGCTTTACAAATTGAATTCATTAATTATAAACTCACCCCTATCATTTTATGTTTTTAGGTTATTGATTGTGTATCTAATGAAGCATTATTTGAATTTTCTCGACACTCTAATCTTGCATAAATAATCAATCATGTACTTTAAATTGTTGATTAGACAACATATAAATCTTTTTTCATAAGAAAACATTTATATATGAGTGGATACTATTCAAATCTATTTATTACATAAATACCTCCCAATTCCTATGTATTTACATATCTAAAACCTACACGGAAAAAAAATTGCGTACGATAGACGTACGCAGCGCTACGTTCGATTTTGATGTTATACCGAGGGTATAAGGGGATTATATTCGCGGTATAACTCCTTGTAACCTCTATGTAACTTTTTGTGACTTATTTGTAACCTACTAATAAATTCTTAATATATGATAACAGAAGCCCGAAACTTATTTGTCGGTTACACTAGGTTACAAGGAGACTACAAGTGGGTATAACCCCTTTATACCCTCCGTATAATCTCGAAATCGTACGTAGCGCTGCGTACGTCTATCGTACACAAATTTTTTCCAAACGTTTCACTTTTCATTTTTACATTTATATCATCCAATTTTCTCACACCTTTCATGTATGATATGTAAATAAATGCGAATCATCTTTGTTTAGCTATCAAGCTTATAAAATTACGTTCAAGTATAATAGTCAAGGCAATTTGGGCGTGCAATATTAAAATTTATATTACGGTTATGTAATTTCATCAAGCCCACATTGTCAGAATATGTAATATAATTATTTATATGGTTCTTAAAATATAAATAATTAAGACGGCCTTATTAAAACAAAATAATCATATGATAAGGATGCAATTTGCATAAATGATAAAACTAAATTGCATAATTGATGACTTAACATGAGACACGTCTTAATTTCGACATCAGGACTCTGCACGTAACTCTACGTGCGGAGTCCAATGAAATCACGCCACAGGAGAATATTCCCGGTAACACAGGTAACACAGGGGAATATTCACTGCGGAGTCCAATGAAATCACGTCACAGGAGAATATTCCCGATAACACATGTAACACAGGGGAATATTCCCCACGTGTTATTGTATGTTATTCATGTATTATTGTGTTCATGTGTTATTGTGTTTTGAGAATATTCTTGGTGCGATAATAACACAATAACACCTGAATAACAAGGGAAGAATATTCCCTTGTGTTACCATACCGATTTTTTTTCACACCTTCACGTGTGTGGCGTGATTGTGCGGAGTCTTTGTGTAATATTCCCTTAATTTCTCAAACAAAAAAAATTACGACAACAAAAGTCATTGTTATGGATTGTAATTTTAACATTTCAATATTTTTCATGTTCGTGAAAAATAATTCTGCTGATGTAGTTGGTTCAATTTGTAAATTTTTCAATGTTATCAAGAATTTGGAAGTCCTATATTATATTTGTGCTTTGCAAATCAAAATTATATTTACATACATAATATTTTGCTGTTTTACAGTTATGCACATAAATGTATATTTAGTTTTAAAAATAATAAAAATGTTTTTGTAATGTGATATTAAAATTTTAAGTGAAGTGTGTAAATGTGGGAAAAGGTTATGTAGATGATATAGGAGGTTATATCTGTGTTATATCTCTTATAATTTCTCTGTAATCTATCTGTAACCTACAAATAACTCATATACAGTGAATAACCTCCAACTACAGATGCAGGGCTGCTTTAAGCAAATATTTTCCGTAAATATGAAAATGGCCGCTGCCCCCCCAAAAAAAAAATTGTGCTGGTTTTTGGCGCTAAGGGATTCTTCTCTCAGTTGCAGCATGTGACGATTCTCTTTCTCTGTCTCTACGGCTTCCTCCTCGCCGCTAGGTTGGCTCAACTCCGCCGGCGAGCTGTGGGCGGTCACCGGAGAACAATGTGCGGCCGATTCATTACTGAAACAGTTCTGATTCCCTTTTCCTTCGTTCTCGCCATATCGATTCTGATCATAGCCGACCCGCAAACCAACCTGCTCAACCTTGGCTGTAGCAACTACAACGCCACCAATCCTTCCCTTTTTATTGCCAATCTCAACGCCACTATCGCCGACCTGCTATCCCGGATCTCCACCGCAGATGGTGGCGGAGCTCTCTTCGCGACGGCGGGGAGCGCTCGGTCCGACTCGCCGGTGTACGCTCTCGCTTTCTGCCGGGGCTACCTTTCCCGCGGCGATTGTCTCAGCTGTCTATCCTCGGCTGCCGCCCGATTGCGGGCCTGTGGCTCGGGAACCGGCGGCCGTGTCATCTACGACGGCTGTAACCTGCGGAACGAGAGCGCGCCGTTCTATGAGCAGGGCACGCTCCCCGGAAACGTTCCTGTGTGCGTCAACGGGACAGATTCCACGGGTGGGTTCGCCGCTGCGACGGAAGGGTTGCTGCAGGATCTGAGCTCGGCCACTCCAAAGATCGCAGGGTATTTCGTAGATGAGATTAGAGGGGGAGTTTATGCTGTGGCGCAGTGTGCACCGACGGTGAGCAAGTCGGTCTGCGCTGATTGCTTGCAGGTGGCTTACAAGAACATAAAGGGATGCTTGCCGTCGAGCGAAGGGCGGGCCATAGATGCTGGTTGCTTCATGAGGTATTCTGGGAGTACTTTTTTCTCCACAAACAGTACTGTGGATCTTGCAGCGTTGTTGGGCTCGGGTAATTGATTGATCTTTCGATTTTTTTTTTTTTTAATTTGTTGAAAATTTTATGGAATTGAAGTGTTTTGATTGGCTTGTGTTTGTTGAAATGTGGGGCAGGGCATAAGAGGGAGAAGAAGACTGCTATTATCGTCGGTGTGGCCGGGGTTTGCGCACTGTTGCTTCTGAGTATTGTGCTATTATTGGTCTGGGTAAGAAGGAAAAGGCCGCAAGAGCCTTGGAGAGGTAAATTTAGTTATTATAGTTCCTATTTTTTACAAGCTGTCATTTGCTTTGCATTTCTCTAAAATTGGGAAGTTTGGAATTGTATCGAGTTTTTATAGCTGCATTAAAGCTCCTAAAAAATGTTTCATTGAAGTATGTGATGGTCCTGAATCATCCCTATGAAAAGATGATGATTTGCATACATTCCACTAAATTCCTATGTATTTACATGTCTAACACAAACTTCTATTTTTCTACATACCACCTTATTTATGCATGTAAAGGGTTCGTTTCATTTTTGTAAATTTAAAGTGCTGGTATCTTGGATGTGATATAAATGCAAAAAGGTAAAATTTAGGTGTAAGATATGTAAATACATGGGAATTGATGTTATGGTGTGGACGAAGCAGACAAAAAAGAACCTGTCACATATCCGCTAGCTTATGGGTGCATATGCGCCCATCATATGGCACAACATAAGAAGGTCGATGCATATGCGCCTGTTGGCGCCTAAGCACACACATTGGGGCGAAAGAGTAGTAGCCATCGCGCCTTGGGCGCTTAAGCGCCCGATGTGTTGGGCTCAATTTTCTGCTTCCCAAGAGCTTGGCGCTTATATGCCAGGCGGTTAACTTCGAAATTTCAGTATTCGAGCAGACTTTGCGAGGGCTTAGTTTTTCTTCCTTCTATATTTTTCGATGATCATCCCGGTGAATGAGAAATGTTGAAAATGTGGATTTCATTGATTAAACATGATTTTTGTGTCAGATTAGAGAGGGAAGATTTTGAAGCGTGTATTGTAAGTTTCTTTGTTTAGAGAGAAAACTTTTGTGAGTTTTTTTAAACAACTTTTGAATTTCATATTAGAATTTTCGGCGGCGTGGCTCCGAAGTTTTTTCCCGTTCTCGATTTTTCTACGTAAATTATCATGTGCTTTTCTAGTTGTTTTGGTTGTGTTGTCTACTTAGAGTTTGTTCCGATTTTCTTGATTGGTGCGATCACGTTATTCCACAGTGTGGTTTGGTTGCTAAATTATTCTAAGCTCTGGTAAAGTTGGGAATTGTTATTGTATTTCCCTATTAAACTAGTATCAGAGCGGGGTTCTATTTAAGTGGGAGCAATGACCAAAGAAACAAGGTTCGGGGTAAAGAAGTTCAATGAAATGAACTTCGCTTTCTGCTATATCAGAAAAAAAATATATTTGCCACTACAAGGAATCACAAGGAAGTATGAGTCTATGCCTATGGAGGAATGAGAAGTATTAGATTAAACGACACTAGATTTGATCCAATTGTCGCTTTCTTTATCTAGTTCGTTCAATATTGTGAATGAGAAAATTACGGTGGATCTCATGATGACACTGACCAAGCTGTACAAAAAAATTTCTGTTCTAATAAAATTTTTCTGATGAAGAAGTTATTCAATATGAAGACGGTAGAAAATAGTTCGGTGGCAGAACATCAATAACTTCAACACTGTGCTGTGACGAGTCAGTTGTGTTTTGTGAGGATCAAGTTTGATGACGAGGTCAAAGCACTGGAGATACTTTATTCATTGTCGGGCATCTGGGGTGGTTTAGTAACGATGATGAGTAATACTTCAGGGACTTCAAAATTGAACTTCGTTGACATCGTGAGTCTGATGTTGAATGAAGAAGTTCGCAAAAAAGCAGCAAATGGTGAATCTTCATGTTCTGCATTGAATTCTGATAATAGGGGAAAAAATATGGGCTGAATATAGACAAGCAAATCCAAGTCCAAGAAAGGAAAACCCAAGTCAAACAAAGTAGAATGTTGAAACTGCCGTAAGAAAGTGCATTTCAATAAAGACTGCAATGTTCCAACGAAAATTGGTGGTGGAGGACAAGGAATTAGTTACTCTACTAATGTTTCCACTAAAGAAATCCATAATGACTCCTTGATGTTATCCCTTACTAAATCCTGGATAGTAGATTCCGACGTCTCTTTTCATATTTATCCCAATAAAAAAATATTTAAAAATTACACTCAAAGTGATATAAGGAAGGTTTATTTGAGAGATATTAAAGCTACAATATAGTATAAAAGGGTGATGTTGATATCATGTTGTCGAATAAAACAATTTGCAAAGTTACTGAAGTTAGATATGTTCCAATTTTGAAGAGAAATATCTCTGTCAGCCAGCTGGCAAAGTCAAGACTTATGACTACTTTCACAAGTGATTCGTGGAAGGTGACTGGAGGGGCATTAGTGATGGCTCGGGGAAACATGAAAGACGCCATTTATCTTATCAATGAAATGATTGATTTCATTGATGTGGCTGGAACCAGGGTAGATGCAGCTCTGTGGTACTGTAGGCTTGACCATATGAGCTAGAAAGGTATGAAGTCTTTATTTTCTAAAAATAAGCTTCAATGTTTGAAATGAGTTGATATAAATTTCTGTGAAGATTGTATATATGACAAGCAGAAGAAAGTTTTTTTCTATAAGCGCGGGTTCGTTATGAAGCCAAAGAAATTGGAGTTAGTGCATTTTATCGCGTGTATTGATGATCACACGAGAAATATATGATTTTATTTCTTAAAGCAAAAATTTGATGTATTTGAAATTTTTAAGAAGTGGAAGACTATGGTAGAAAATGAGATATGCTTGAGGCCGAAGTATCTCAGATCAGATAATATGGGCAAATATCGTAATCAGAAGTTCAATAATTTCCGCGTTACAGACACTGCAGTAGAATGGTATGGCTGAGCACATAAACGATCATGAAGCGTGTCAGGAGCATGAGACTGCATGCTGGTTTGCCAATACAATTATGGGTTGAAACAGTAAACACTGCAGTTTATCTGATTAACCATCGTCCATCGATACATTTAGAGAAAGGCTTACCTTAAGAAGCTTGGAGTGGCAAAAAAAGTTTGTTTATCTCATTTAAGAGTATTTGAGTGTTCTGCATATGTGCATTTTGATGTAGGGTTCAGGAACAAACTTGACTCAAAAAAATATGGCAAGTGCACTTCATTAGATATGACTTAGATGAATTTAGATACAAGATATGAGATTATCAGAATCAGAAATTTATCAGGAGTAGGGACATCACTTTCAATGAAATGGAGATGTACAAGGACAGAGTTAGAGCTCAGAAAAGTCCGTCAGCTGCTTCTGAAGATTCCAAATATGCTGAGATAGATGATACTAGTGATCATGAAGGTGGAGAAAGAAGTGCTCAACCAGAAGGAGCACTAGAAGCTTCTCAGTCACCTGCTACAGAAGTCAGAAGATCTAGCAGAGTGGTAAGACCCATACACATGTATTCTTTTTCCTTACACTGTTTGTTACTAAGTGATAGTGGTGAACCAAAGTGCTTTGAGAAGACCACTCAAGTTGAAGATTCAAGGGAGTGAAAGCTCGCCATGAATGAAGAAATGCAATCTTCGGAGTCAAAACAGACTTGGAATTTGACGGTACTATTAAATAACAAAAGAGCACTACACAGTTAGTAGATCTACATACTGAAAGAAGAGTCAGATGATAGCAAGTGCTACAAGGAAATACTTGTTGTGAAGGGTTTTCAACAGAGGGAATGAGTGGATTATACAGAGCTCTTCTCCCCAGTGGTGAAGATGACGACTTTCAGGATTGTGCTGAGTTTGGTAGAAGAAGTTGATCTACGTTTGGAATAAATGGATGTAAAAACAACTTTCTTACATGAAGATCTAGAGGAGCAGGTATACATGATGCAACCACAAAGTTACAAGGTTCCAGACAAAGAATGTTTGGTTTGCAGATAGAAGAAGAGTCTCTATGGCTAAAGCTGACCCCCGAGATAGTGATATAAAAGGTTTGACAGGTTCATGCCAAACAATGGGTACATGAAGTGCCAAGCAGACCACTGCTGTATCATCAAACACTTTGATAACTATTATATTTTGCTTCTTTTGTATGTGGATAAAATGCTATTGCAGGGGTAGATATGGAGAAAATCATAAACTTGAAGAAACAATTACCAAGCGAGTTTGAGATGAAGGTTTTAGGTCCAATCAGGAAGATCCTCGAGATGAGAATCAACAAGGATAGTGGTGCAGGAACACTGAAGTTGTCTTAGACAGAGTATGTTAGGAAGATCTTGCGGAGGTTTAACATGAGCGAGACAAAACTAGTTAGCATTCCCTTAGGTAATCACTTCAAAATATCTGAGTTATCACCAAATTCTGAAGCAGAGCAAACACAAATGGAGAGAACTCTGTATGCTTCAACAGTTGGAAGTTTGATGTATGTGGTGATTTATATTAGACCAGATATTGCATATGTAATAGGAGTGATCAACAAACATCATTGAGAGACAGTAAAATGGATTGTCTGGTATTTAAGGGGAGCAATTAGCAAGACATTTTGTTATGGAAGTGCAGGCAGTCTGGGATTTGTGGATTCATATCTGGCAGGAGATGTGGACAGTAGGAAAAGTACAGCAGAGTATATCTTCACATTGGGGAACACATCGGCGAGTTGGGTTTCCAGGTTGTAGAAGATAGTTGCACCTTCAACTAAGGAGGCCGAATATATTATTATCACTGAGGCTAGCAAGGAGATGATTTGACTATAAAGTTTCATGGCAAAATTGGGCAAGGAGCAGGAGAATGGAAAACTCTATAGTGACAGTATGAGTGCAATTTATCTTGTTAAGAACACTTTTTTTTTTACGCCAAGACGAAATGCATTCAGTTGATGTATCATTTTATTTGCTCTCTTCTTGAAGATGGACAGTTGTTCTTGGAGAAGATACACACTGCTCAGAATCTTGAAGATATGTTGACGAAGGTGGTGACTATTTTGAAACTAAATCTATGCTCGGCTTCAGTCGGATTTCATGGAGGTTAAGACTTGGGGTGAGCCACAATATGGTATGTGATTATGAAGATTATTCAAATGGAGCTGCAGGTACAAAAGACTGGTGCTCGGTGCTATCGTCTCCAAGTGGGAGATTGTTATGATGTGGAGCTGGAGCAGACAACAGAGAAGCTAGTGCAAATGCGCTCATCATATGGCGTAGCACAACAAGGTCGACGCATATGCGCCGGCCATTTGGCATGTATGCGCCCACATTGGGGCACAAGTGTAGGCGCTTAAGCACCCAATGTGTTGGGTGCGGTTTTCTTCTTCTCGAGAGCTTGGCGCTTAGGCACCAAGTCTAGGCGTCTAAGTGTCAGGAGCGGTTGACTTCAGAATTTTGGTTTTGAATATTGATTTCGAGCAGGTTTCGCGAGGGCTTGGTTCTTCCTTCTGTATTTTTTGGGGAGCATCCTGGTGAAGGAGAGAAGTGTCGAAGATGTGAATTTCAGTGATTCGACGTGATTTCTTGCTTCGGATCGGAGAGGAAAGATTGTGGAGTATGTTCTGTAAGTTTCTTTGTTTGGAGAGGAAACTTTTATGAGTTCTTTGTAAACATTTTCTGAATTTCATAGTGGAATTTCTGGTAGTGCGACTCAGTGATTTTTTCCGTTCTCAAGTTTTTCCACGTAAATTTTCGTGTGCTTTTCTGGTTGCTTTGATTGTGTTCTCTACTTAGAGTTTATTTCAATTTTCTTGAATTGGTGCGATCCCGTTATTCCGCGGTGTGGTTTAGTTTTTAATTGATTTTAATCCCTGGTAAAGTTGAGAATTGTTCTGTCTTTCCCTTATCAATTGAGTGGTATGCATGTAATGACCTGATGAAAGAGAAACCAGTTAGTACTCTTAGGCACTTCACAACTGTGTTACTGGTGTCCTTTGCTTGTGCAAATGCAAGGAAACAAATAACATAAACATTTATTAGATTGCTGATCGGTATTTTAGACTAAGACGAAGAATTTCACTTATTTTTGGAGGAGGGGAATCAGGTATGCTGACTATAAAATAAGGGCAAATCTTTCTCAAAAATAGTGGCCACTTTTTGTTTTCTGAAAAACACAATAGTAACACAGATAAGCTCTCATAGGGAATGGACTTTTTTTTTTGAGAAATTTACATTCATACCACATAATTCCTATGTATTTCCATTTCTAACACCCAAAGTTTAATATTTACACCCATAACACTTTGGTGCTATAAACTAATGCATTAAAAAGTGTATTTCACTTTTAAAAAAATGATGATGGTAGTATTTATGATGTGATTTTAATGATTTTAGTGGTATGCATGTAAATATGAATTTTCAGTTATTAAATATGTAAACTCATAAGAATTGTGTGATATATATGTAAAAGCTCCCTTTTTTCATGGTCAGATGGTTGATACTATCAAGCGTGCACTACAGGTAAACACAACTCCTAAATTTAAGTTTAGGATTATAGAGTTCATTAAAAGGGCATTTAAACTTTTTTCATTGCAGTAATAAGCTATCCAACACCATAGAATATAAATTTTCAGATAATTAAAGAATAATTCCTCATCAAATTGTTGAATGGCTTTGATAGGGACTGTACAAAGTTCATCTCTTAACTCACAGAATTCATAAAAAGTGTCCATGATTAAATAATTGTCTAATAATACTATGTCTTAGTTGAATATGCCTGCTCTTACCATTATAGGATTGAGAATTTTACATATGTGCCGTACAATTCTTATGTATTTATATATCTAACACCCAAAGTATTAAATTTACACTTATAGTACCTTGGTGTCATAAACCTATGCAGAAAAAGGTGTATTTCACTTTTAAAAAATAGTAATGATGGTATTTTTTATGTTATATTCAATATTTAAGTGGTATGCATGTAAATATGAATGTTAGGTGTTAGATATGTAAATAAACAAGAGTTGTGATGTATGTATGTAAATGACCCTATAGGATTTGTTATCTTTGAAGTTTGCAATTACAATGACGATATAAGAGCAATTAGAATATATTCTCAACATATGCGATGCAAGGTCTAGAGCAAGTCGTAAGATATATCATGCTATAAATTATTTATGAATGCTCATGTTGAGAAACACTCACCTGAAATTCTTGTTCAATAGAGAATTTGGAACATCCAGAGTCTCATGTACTAAGCACTACTTATTAGGTGCTTCTGAACCTAGCAACTTAATATTCATCATTTCTTTAAGCATCATATGTTCTCTTTCTACTACTTTAGATCCCTGAAACCAATTGTGAATTACCTCATGATGTTATTTGTGTTAGTTTAGAGAACTAAATTTATTTTGAACCTCAACGCTATGGATTTTGAATTTTTCTTCTATTACAACTTCCAAGTAAATATACTTTAGTGCACCTTAAATAATTATCATTGAAAGTCATACAATATCTTTTTTTCCATTTTTAGTAATTGTGGATTTTGTGCAGCACAAAACAAAATGGATCAAACCAAGCAACACATTTCTTTCTAATGCATAGGTTTGCATGTCTTGTTTTCTTTGTTTTGTTCTCTCTATGGCATCTTTCCAGTTTCTGTAAACACTATTTTCCAAAATGTCAACTTCATGCATTTTCTTAGTGTAGAGGAAATTCATGCGTCTCACTTGATCCTGCCATAAATCAACTAAATAAATAAAAGCAGGACTTCTATTGATGTTTTCAAGTACACTCAAAGAGGCAAACCATTATGTTAATACCCTTTTCCAAAGAGGCAAACTACTATTTTCCAAAATAATAATTTGGGGCCAAATTTTTATTTGGGAAATTTACATACATGCTGCACAATTCTTAAACATTTACATATCTAACACTTTTCATATTTATATATATAACTGTTCATTATTATACCACAATTCACTAAATCATAGGTTTGCATGTGTGTTTCACTTTTAAAAAGTTAATAAAAGTGATATTTTCTATGGGATATTAAAGATTTAATTGCCATGTATGTAAATATGAAAGTTTAGGTGTTAGATATGTTAATTCATAAGAATTGTGTAGTATGTATGTAAGTGCCCCTTTTTATTATTACAACTGTTTTAGCATCAAAGATGGCCCTTAGTCCCCACTTTGGCTGAAATAAAAAGACGCAAGTTTCCAATAGGCTTGCAGTATACTTTATCAGATAGCTTGGATAGTTTTAGGTAACTTTTCCTTTACCACACAGCATAGAAATTTTCTTTAACCTTTTTCTAAGAATGCAAAGATTTAAACTAGATATATAATTTACATGAAAATTAGTAGAATTATGATGAAAATTCTTCCCAAGAGTTTGGTTTCCGCTCAGTAAAGTTTACTTCGGAAGCAAAATCTTTCATTTTCTTCATCTTTTTTTGCTGATTAATCCCTTCTTTACTAATAGAAATATGACTTCATTTTAAGCCATATCCTTTAGTTTCAGCTTTAATCTATTTTTCTATTCTATGACTTGGTTAAGTTTTAAATCAATATAGCTGTCAGGTAGAATCTGGCATTCATTATTTAATTCACTAACAATAATATGATCATGAAATATCTTTCTTATCAGACTATTGATAAGCCAACCGCAACTTTTTTCACATCAGCATCCTTAGCAATATACTTTTAACTAAGATCGCTTTATATTTTCTTAACAAGGTTTAATTTGCAAATTATCAAATAATTCATTAAACATGATTCTCCAGCAAAATTTATCAACATTTTTCAGGGTAATAATTTTAGCAAAATAATTGTCACGACCCTCTTTTGGCATCAGCTTAGTTATATAATCAACACCATAAATATCTAAACCGATAAAAATTTCAATTAGCTAATTTGTAAAGTGTCCTTTCGTAAATGCTTCTGTTTTCTGTAGCAGCAACAGAATCATGGCAGCCTTCTTACAACTGAACAAGATAGTCAAAGGACGGTATAACTGGTATTATGAATATAATATGAATGACAGTAACTAAGCCTGTGTTTGGATGATAGGGATTTGAGTTAAAGAAAATAAGAAAAGATTCAAATTTGACTTATATTTAATCGAAATTTAATTTCATGTTCTTCATTTCAATCTAAACTATGCCTACATGTACATCCAGATCTATTCACTTGTAATTTTATCACTTTTTTTTTCACTTTATTGCATCCTTTTAGCATGTTTTTCAAGGTATTAGCAATTATAGTTAATTAGTGATGCAATGGAAAAAGAAATATGCCAAAAGATTACAGGCTAATATTTGATATTTTTTTATATGCTGGATAGTTTGAAATCTTGTTTTAAACATATTTTCATTTAGCGTCTCAATGAATTATCTTTTTTGTTTAATGCAGCAGATATACTGGGCGCAACAGAGCTTCGAGGTCCTATGAATTTTCATTATCGTGATCTGAAATCTGCAACAAATAATTTTAGTGAAGAAAACAAGCTGGGTGAAGGAGGATTTGGTCAAGTGTACAAGGTAAAACCAATCCAAAATAGCCCTTGCAGCCTTCGTAGATTTTTGTGGCCTCAGAATTAAATCGCAATTCTGTCCAAACATTTATATAAAAAATCAAATTCTCTTTCCACCTTTTTGACAATTTTCATAAAAAAATACCATTTAAAATCTCTGGCAGGGCACACTGAAGAATGGCAAAATAATTGCTGTGAAAAAGTTGGCAATGACTCAGTCAAAGAATGTGAAAGCAAGCTTTCTAAGTGAGGTGAAGCTTATAAGCAATGTTCATCATCAGAATTTGCTTCGATTGCTTGGCTGTTCTACCAAAAGTGATGAGCTCTTGCTTGTCTATGAATTCATGGCAAATGGCAGTCTTGATAAGTTCTTATATGGTAAGAATCCTTTCAGTTTCTTTTCTGAAATTAGAGTTGAAATATAATCTCGAATATCTATTTGTTATAATGTATGATGAAGTAACATGCTTAGGATTTGACTTTGTAAGTTGCCGAATAAAAAATTGCCGGCTCCATGGAATGCTTGGCTGACAAAAATTTCAAAATCTTGCAATCTTGAGCCGCCAACTTCATTTGTTCAGTTGAGTACATTGTCATGAATTAAATTTTTTCAAGCTAATCATGCGGCCTTAGCACACTGTTTCGGAGACAACTCAACCTAAATTTCAAGAATACCAAGCTAGAACATTGAGAAGTCAAGAGGGGATAAGAAATTAAAAGTAGACAGCTTTAATATATTTCACATTGGGAGAACTCTACAAGGCTAAGAGCTCTTGGTTTTTTTCTTGGATGATTTACAAATGAGATCTTATCTCCTAATTATAAGCACCCACCTTCCTTGTAGAAACTTTTAGATTATAGTCTGTGTAAAAGATTTTATAATACTCCACAATTTTTCTATACATTCAAAATATTTTTGAAGTTCGAGAGACTTCCTTAATCATTATAGCCTTCTAATTGTGTCTAAATTCTGTAGAATCATCTGAATATGATGGTTTATTCCAGATCTTTCTAGAAGCTTTTGGTTTTTCTCTATAAATTATCCAAAAGGAATGTGATTAGGTCCTTGCCCATTAGCAGGATGTGACATTCTCTCCCACCTGAACCTGCGGTACTCTCATTGCAACTTCCTCATGGTAATGTTGGATTTTCTCTTTGACTTGCTATGGTGCTTCCTCAAACTCCCAACTAGCTTTAGACTTTGGCAGTTCATTCCATTTGGTAAATTTGGCATACTACATCAACGAATGATTGGATCAGCAAGTATTTCATCCGCTTCTTTATCAAAAGAAGTGATTGTGGTTGTTGGTGCTCTCTTATATATTCCCCTTGATGGATCTTTCGTCACCCCAAGATATGCCTTTAACTTGCTTACACAAAAAGCTATATGAATCTTTAGTTTGGTGGGAGATGGAGTTTGTAGGAAACCTTTCTTATACTTTTGCTCACTTTGAAAGGTCCATCGTATTTACATACTAACCTTTTGGGCACCTTTTTGAACCTCTTGTATTGTTGTGGTAAGATTTTTAGTAATAAAAGGTTTCATTCCTTAAACTCCACATATCTCTTTTTCTTATTTGTTCATTTCTTCATCCGCCTTGCAGTTTTGTGTACTGCCGCTCGAGCGAAGTCAGCTTGCTTATGCCAAGTTTTAGTGAATTTAAATGTAGCTACCAGCTGAATTCTTTTCTTCATATTGAGCGGTAAGTGATAGAGGTGTTAGTGGTTGTTGTCCCATGATTATGTCAAGAGGACTTACTTCTAGCTTCGCTTGTTGCAAGATGTAGGAGACTTGTGTGACTACAAGTTTGGCCTAATCTTGTTGGTTGACACTCACAGTGTCATAAGTATGACTCCAATAAAGTATTAACCATTTCATTTTGTCCTTCACTTTGACCGTGAAAGCTTGTAGAAAAGTTTAATTCTGATACTAAAATTTTGAACTACTATGTCCAAAATCTTCCAATTAAGAGAAAATCTCAATCACTAAAAAATTTCTTTAGGACTCTCCATAACTTGATCACGTTGTGAAGAAATAACATGGCTGCTTTTTTAGCTATGCAATCAATTGGGGCGACAATAAAGGTTGCATAATTGATGCGAACCGAGTGCTGTAAGACACTAACAAATCATGCAAGTATACATGTTGTACAAGCAGTATACGAAACTAAGTTCCGTGTATCTATCTCATAGGGAATGAGTTAAATCCGAAAATGAAAAAGGTTTTCTAGCCTATTGATTTTGGACCTAATCTGAATGTTTGAAATTTGCTTTTATATAAAATTATCTTATCTTCATTTTTTTAAGTATTAAAAAAACTTATGGTAAAGAAGTGGTGTTTAAAAGAGAATTCAGGTGCAAGAGATTTCTCCTTTTGATAGGCCTTGCAGAATTATAGGTTGAAAAAGGTGATTCTAAAATAAAGCGTCAAACAGGAGCACCCTTTTCTTTATCCCCTCCCAAGAGTCTAAGAAAGTTTGTCTAGTAAACTCGTTAGTTCCCTAAATCTAGTGAGCAACCGAAGATTTAATTTCTCCCTATAAGTTTGCACAAATTCAGAGGTAATATCCTTATTTCCCTAAATCCATGTAGTCAAACTAATCATTTCACTAAGTATTTTTTTGAATCTCATAGTTCACGATGTGTCTTAACTATTCTACTGGCAAGGAAGAATATAAATTACGTTTTCAAGGTTAATACAACGCTATATATGAATTGCGATATAAATCACACAAAGCAATTTAATCCTATCATTCCCACAATATCAATTTAAAGGAGAAGCGAGAAAACTACTCGCAAATCATACTTGAAAACACAAACATGATGACCTTATAAATAACGTACACAATAAGTTTACCAATAAAAATCAAGGAAATCACAAAAATCCAATACAACTTATCTACTTTTGAAAATGTTGGATTTACAACACCATTCACACTTTGAAACACTCTCAATATCTACACACTCACTTGCACTTTGATCTTTCTTCAAGTTCTTTCCACTGAAATCCTTGTCCAAAGCTGTATATCTCTCTGAAATACTTCGAAAGAACAGGCAAAAGGCCCCTCTTCCTTCAGGCGACCTTCTTTAAAGCTTTCCTGCTAAACAACGTGCCTGAATATGTCCACCACAACCATGATGCTTTGAATACCTCCAGACATTAGCAAGATAAAAATGAAGTCCATAGTGCCACTCTCATATGACCTCTCAGGTATAAGTAATGATTTCAGCAAGCACTCGGATTATAACTGATCTGTTTCATCTTGTTGGCAGACATGATAAGTTTGTACGTACTCTTCGATATCATCTAACATCCTTGGCCAGTAGTGAGTAGACTTAAAAATGCAAATGTGTGCTTCATTTCTGGATGTCCTACCCATAAGGAGTCGTCACGCTCCTTTTTTAACTCCTTTCTCAGATTTCCTCATCTTGGCACATATTTATTTTTGCCTTTGGTATAAATGATATCTTCCTCTAGCCAAAATCATCTGGTTTAACCAAGGCAATAATGCTCTAAGCTTGGGGATTAGCCTTTAATTATTCCTTGATTTTGTCTGTTAGTGGGCCAGTGACTTGCGATAGGCTTGCTAGCCTTGCTTTTCAACTCACTGCATCAGCTACCACATTCAAACTTCTTGGTTTGTCCTCCATAACACAATCAAATTCAACTAGGAAGTGTTATTATCTTGCTTGTTCTGGACTCAACTTCTTTTGGGTTTGGCAATATATTGTAGCAAAATTTGTCAGTCAAGATCACAAATCTTGAACCGAGTACGGAGAATCGCCATGTTCAAAGGCAGTGTATGATTGCGGTCATTTTTTTTCCTCGTAATGTGTAACATCATTCTGATTGGGGATAGGTTGTATGATCGCAGTCATTATTTAATACATTCAACTTCCTGCACGACTTAAATTGAACTTTTCTTATGAAATCATATCTGAGGTTTAATGTCATGTTACTTGCAAGGACAGTCATGAGTATAATTCTTATTCTCCGTCATTTGTTTTTTATTTATACATATTCTAGTTGAATGCATGTTTCACTCATTTTATACATTTAATATTCTTATGTTCTTGGCAGGTGAAATGAGTGGAATGCTCAACTGGAAACAAAGATTTGACATAGTTGTTGGCATGGCCAGGGGACTTGCATATCTGCATCAGGAATTTCATGTCTGCATCATTCATCGGGACATAAAATCTAGCAATGTTCTCCTCGACGATAATTTCAGGCCAAAAATTGCTGATTTTGGGCTCGCAAGGCTCATGCCCGGCGATCAGAGTCATCTCAGCACCTATTTTGCTGGAACATTGTATGTTTAGGCGCTTCATTTATGCTTTGTAGATAAAACATCATATTATATACCCACCACCTATATATTTACATATCTAATACCTAAACTTATACTTTTTACATTTATGCCACCTAAATCTTTCACATTACATCAAAAGTACTGCCATTGTTAGCTTTTAAAAACTGAAATACACTTTTTCATGCCTATGTACCACACCCCCAACCCACATAAGGAAACTCTCCTGATTTGGACATAATCTTCCGCTCTGCTCCGCCCCGCTACAGAATTTGTCCCTTTATGGTATATGAGTCATACCTAACAATTCTCCACCTTGGCGAATATCCAGCTTTTTAGAAATTGAAGTTTAAGTGTTAGATATATAAATACATAAGAGTTGTGGTATGAGTGTAAATCTTCCTAGAAATATTAATATGTGATTGTTTGAACGTTTCTGAGCAGGGGATACATAGCACCCGAGTATGTTATTCATGGCGACTTGAGCGAGAAAGTTGATACATACAGCTTTGGTGTCGTTGTCCTGGAAATAATAAGCGGACAGAGGGGCAGTGATTCCAAGCTTGAGCCTGTGCCTCAGCATCTTCTTGAATTGGTAATTTTTTTTCAAACCTTTATTTGCATTGATGCAGAAATCTGATGCGTGCATTTTAGTAATTTGCTCTATTTACAAAACTATCCAAATTTGATCTTTCGATCTTGACAACTTTGTTGAAGCTCTTTATTAATTAAGTTTGTTGGCACTTACTGAGTGACTTGTTTGTTTAATCCCGAGCTTTGATAATGTAGAGTTTGTTAGAACTTGATTAGACTCTTGGTTCAGTAAATCCAGCAAGGCTCCTGGATTTAAAAATTTAGCTTTTTTGTACTTAATATTGTAATATTTATGCAGCCTAGTTTTGTTTAACTTACGCTAGTTAAGTATTGGTAGCCTTGCTAAGGAGTAATAAAGACTTATCATTTTTATTATTATATCATTATTAATTATTTTCCTAACTAATTGGACAATAATTAATACATATTTGCTTTGTTAAGCTAACTAATCCAAGCATTAATTATCCTATTTCAAGCATAATCAGTACTTTAAACTATTATTTTAGCATTAATTAGTCAGTCAACAAATACCTTTCTAGGTAACCGAAGTAAGTATACCTAAACCGTAATCATTCTATTTAACTATTGATTAGTCAAACTAAAGCATAATTGAAGTTTAAAGTAACATTATTATTATTTATTGAAGTAATTTTTAGGCTGATATTTAGTCAGTTAATTGATTATATTTTGTCAGCTTAATTAAATCTAATAAAATCAGTCTGTTTACTTATTAGATTGCTTAATAAAGTTTCCATATTCTAAACTCCTATTTGGAATGAGTTTTATTTAGTATTTTTATTTTTAAATACATTTGGTCAGTAAATTTTTGACATATTTTTATTCTATTTTATTTGAAACAAAGCAATTTAGTTTTGAAAACATTTAGAACAACTTTTAGTTACTTCAAGTGTTTTCAAATTTTTTTTAGGTGCTTTTAAAAATTAAGTTGATTTGTTTTTAATGCTTCAAATATATTTTATTTCAGATAAAAACATAAACAAAATAAACTATAAATACAAAATAAAAAAGCGGGCATCTACATACAGACAGCACAATTTTTATGTATTTACATATCTAACATCAAACGTTAATATTTACGGTATAGCACAATGTAAATTTACTTTTAAAATGTGTAATACACATTTTCATGCATATGTTTATCACACCAAACTGTTGTAAATGTAAATATGAAAGTTTCGCTGTTAATTATGTAAATATATAAGAATTGTTGTATGTGAATTAAGGTCCAAAAAAAAAAAAGTGATCATATGTGAACCCAAGTAAAAGCATGAAAATTAATAACATAGAAATTATTTAAGTTCAAATGTATGATGTACTTGATATAAATTAAACATTTGCATTATTAATGTAGCATATACTTAGGGGCATTTACTAAATACCACACAATTCTTATGTATTTACATGTCTAACACCTAAACAGTCACATTTACATGAATATCATTCAAATCCTTAACATCACATCAAAAATAACACCATCATTATCTTTTTAAAAGTGAAATACACCATTTCACATAAAGGTTTATGATACCAAGGAGTTATAAGTGTAAACTTATAATATTTGTGTGGTATGTACATAAGTTTCACTCACACTAATCACTTTAAGCCAAGTCCTTGAACTTAAACTTCCACTCTTTTTTCCTTTTGACTAAACAGGCCTGGAAACTATACGAGATGGATAATTTACCCAATCTGATCGATAAATCACTCGATCCTAACGAATTTGATCTCGAAGAAGTGATAAGAGTTATCACAGTAGCTCTACTTTGCACCCAAACTGTGTCATTAAGACCAACCATGTCTGAAGTTGTGGTTTTACTCCTCACCCAACATTCTCTGCACCTCAATCTCTCCAGGCCTGCTTTCATAGAAAGCCCTGGAAAAGCTCATAATAACATTACAAGCCACACTGGATCATCTTCCACAGATCCGACGACCATTATAATGCCGAAATTTTCGGCTCGGTGAAGCCAACGGGTTTGTTTCTCTTGGTTTAGCCGAAATTTATGCATACGGTCATACCTGTAAATTCACAAATAGTGAGGATTTGTTGTATGTAATTGGAAATAAGGGATTAGCTAATTTCAAGTGGTTGGCAAGTATTAAGTTTGTTGACCATATTTACAATTTTGGTCTATGTAATGTTTACAAATGAGAAACTTTATGATAATTTGTTTAATATTTTGCATTTGAAATTTGTTAAAGGGTGACTGAAGCTTAGAAATGATTGCATGTAAAAGAACTGATGTATGGATTTATGATTGTATTATGTTTATTCTGTATAGAAATACTTTATTCCTATTCACTTAATGTTTAGAAAGTGCTGCATAACATTGAAGGATTTGCTGTGTAAATTTTCTTCATATTATTGGGACTACTTAACGTTTTTTAATGTGATTTTTGGATGATTAATATTAACGTTAAAATGAGGGGAACAAACATGCAATTTTTATATTTATTTATTATTGTTATTGGTTGGGAAACACAAAAAATAAAATGTAAATGGAAGCTACACCAACGAACTCAATTGCCACCGTTCACCTCCAATTGTAGCAACTCAAACTAGTCAAGATGCTATCCATTTTGACTAATTGTTTTAAGATTTTGTCCCGTTGGTGTAACTTCTCCAGAGGCCACTCAACATAAGAGGGGTCTCATACGAGTACATTTAATTTTGTAGTTTTATATGAAATTACACTAGAACACATATTGATATAACATAAATAATTAGCATTCTCATCAATATTCTAAACCCACAATCATTCAACAATCATATGGGATTCAA